GGTCGTAAAGGTCATGCTGTTGGTGACATTCCTGGAGTCTGCTTTAAGGTGGTCAAAGTAGCCAACGTCTCTCTTTTGGCTTTATACAAAGGCAAGAAGGAAAGACCAAGATCATAAGTTTTGATGGTGAAAGCACAATAGTAATAAATTTTCATATGCCAAAAAATAAAAAAAAATAAAAAATAAATAAAATAAAAAATAAAAATAGAATTGCCATATGGTCTAGCAACCCCACTTTTGGGCATATATCTGCAGAAAACTCTAATTCAAAAAGATCTATGAACCCCAATGTTCACAGTAGCACTACTTACAATAGCCAAGACATGCAACCAACCTAAATGTCCATCAACAGATGACTGGATAAATAAGTTGTGGTATATGTGTGTGTGTGTGTGTGTGTATATATATGTATGTGTGTATATGTATATATGTATACACACACACACATACACTGCATATAAATATATATATATATAATGGAATATTACTCAGCCATAAAAAGAATGAAATAATGCCATTTGCAGCATGGATGGACTTAAAGATTATCATTCTAAGTGAAATAGTCAGAGAAATACAAATATCAAATGATATTACTTATTTATGGAATCTAAAATATGACACAAATGAACTTATTTATGAAACAGAAACAGACTCACAGACATAGAAAGCACACTTATGGTTACCAAAGGGGAAAGGGGATGTGGAGGATAAATTAGGAGTTTGAGATTAGCAAATACAAACTAATATATATATATAAGATAGATAAACAGCAAGGTCTTACTGTATAGCACAGGGAACTATATTCAATATCCTGTAATAAACCATAATGGAAAAGAAAAAAATTATAAACCATATGAGGAAATGAGGATGAACCAAAAGACTCAGTAATTAATGAAATTAATACTCAAAGAACTATAGATAATTGAACATCCTGAAAGGGACTATACACATTGCTATGCTTAAAATGATGAAAAACATAAAGGAAGGAATTGAAATAATGAAATAAAAGAACAGTATGAGTTAGAGAATAAGCAGATTCAAAACAGGACCAAATTGGACTCCTGGCAGTAAAAGATTAATTCATTCAAATAAAAAAACCTCAATGGATAAATCATCATATAAAATAGTCAATTGAAAAACAGATCTGAATAAATCACCCATAATGCAACATAGAGATAACAAGATGGAAATAGTAAAGAGAAGTTATGAGACATGGAAGATAAAATGATTCATTCTAATATACTTCTAAGAGGCATTTGAGAAAGAAAGTTGTAGAGACATTCACAGAAATAATGTGAGAAGAGAAATACTGTTATAATTCACATGTTGTATGGTTGCTTTATGTAGAAAACCCAAGACTGTCCACTAGAAAAAGCCAATACCCACTGATAGAATGGATAAAATGTGAGTGATAGGACACTGTACAGTAATGACCAGGAATAAATCAGTTATACTCAGTGACATGATAGAATCTCAGGGACACAATTTGGAGTGGAAAAAACAAGTAGAAAAACATGTACAGCATTAGTTCCCTGATACAAAGTTTAAAAACATTCATAACAATATATATTCTCCTTGTGGAGCTACAAAGAAGAGGAATAAATGATAAATACTAAGTTTAGGATAATAGTGGCCTCTGAAGGGAGAGGAAATAGGTGGTGTTATAGGGGGAATTGAAGAATACTGGTTTTGTTCTTTTCCTGCATTGGATGGTGAGTACTTAAGTGTACTAATCTTTTTAATTTTTCCCATATTCTTTATACTTTATGTATATTTTAAAGATATTGTTTTGTATCTATTTGTATGTATTTATTAAAAACAATTTAAAGGACAGAATGCTAAAGAGTCACACTTTTCCAGAAATGAAAAAGGACATGAGTCCTCAGACTGTAGCACACCCAGCCTTTGCAAGTTAAATAAAAATAAATTCAAGCCTAGATGGATGAGAGTGGCACAAAAGACAGAAAGAAAAAACAAGGAGAAAGATAGATTACCTTTTCTCGAAGGAAAGGTACATTTCTCTGCAACGATGACAAACTCCAGAAGTGAAATAACAACGCTAAGTGCTCAGAGGGGAACATACCCTGAATAAAATCCTTTACACAGCTAAGTTCCATTCAAGAGTGAGGGCTAAATAACGACCATATAAAGTTTAGTCCTAGCAGAACTTCACTGAAGAACTACTAAAAGAGGTACTGATTAAGGAGGAAAATTATCCAGAAAAAAGATGTTGGAAACAAGGAGAAAAGAAATTGGCAAATATTTTTGTAAAACTGAAAAAAACAGGGGTGGACCCATGTTTTATGTGACATAAAGCTTTTATAATTTGAGGAACACTTTTTAACAAAAGAGTATCAAAGTACTAATAAAAAATTAGGTACAAAAGTTTATATTTCCTTAGAGTAAAAATAGACATCACAACAAATTAAAAATTAAATTATAGCTAAATGCTACAAAACCTCACAAAATCCAGGAATGTAATATAATCTTTAATTATTTTTATTATAATTTTACTTCCTCTATAATACATTTTATACCCAACATTTTTTGCCTGCATTCTCTTTGCTCACTTCTTAATGTGATAGTTACTTTTAAATACCATCCTATACAAACAAGTAGCAAGATAAACCAGTCTTCTAACACAGTTGGTCAAAATTTGTTCTTTTTTTAAAAAAAAAATCATAGTTTAGAAAAGTTTATTTTAGCGTCGCATTCCTTATTGGTACTGAGGGGAGTCCTCAGATAACTCCGGTCCTTTGATCTCACTGTCACAGCAGGCTGATCAAGGTCGGCTGGGTTTCACCACGCCCCAGTATCCCTCCCGCCCGCTACCTTGCCCAGGCAGTTCTCAGCAGTGAGGTGTGCCAAGGTGACCATGAACGAAGCCAAGTCACATGGCTGTCAAGCTGAGAGTGGAGCAGTGTCACAGTCAGATTCTTCTCCTTAGGGAAGACAATGACGCTCCGAGGGGTCCACGGAATGTAAGTTGTCCCTGGGGACTGGTGCCCAATGCCCACCCCTTCTTCTGCAGCTCTAAGACCACCACCAGGGCAAGAAGAATGACCTCCAGGCCAGTGGGACTTTGTTCCTCCAACTCTTCTGGAGCTGCTGCTTCCTTCTGGTATTAAAGCCTTGGGAGGGTCCATCAAGTTAAGAGCCATGAAGTGGAAATCTTAGCTTCATGTTTTCTATAGGCCCAGCCTTAAGCAGGGGCTATAGAAAACAATATTTACAAGAACAATTACTGCCCATAGAAAAGAGATTCTACTGTCTCCACAAGGAATAATACAGGAACACTCTCAACTTCTCTCTGTGCCCTTAACCATTCCTCCTAAAAGGCAGGAAGATTGGAAAGTTTAGGAGGAAGACCCAACAGGTTTGGCTCAGCCCCTGCTGTTCTCTCCCCTTCAGACCTGCCCGCCCCACTGAAGGAAAACTCTGGTCTGCCTGTGTCCAGGTGGTGAGCGATCAGCCTTATTAGGGAAACCTGCTGTTGTCTCACTGTGCCATTGGGGACTAAGTCCATCCAATTCAGGAATAGAGTATCAGCAAGCCCATCTGGCCACAGATCTAAAATCACTTTCTCCAATCAGCTTTATCTGAAATAGAGAGAATATTGTATTTTGATTTTCCACCTCTTATTCCTGCCCCTCTCCTCCCTTCTTTCTCCACATTGTTTCCGAATTCCAGAGAGGAAGAGAAGCTCTATATGGGATGCCGTACAATCCTCATAATAAAGGCTAAGTTGGAGAGATTTTTTTTTAAAACAGGTGAAACTGATAAGCTAGACAACAATAATATAGGAGGAGAGAACAGAGCTACTGATTAACTTCAGCCTTAAGTCCAGTGCAGCATGTTCAGAATTTAAGGGTAACCTCCAAAAGAAATAGAATATATATCTTCCAAAACACCGGAAGGGGAAAAAGTGAACTAACTTAATCAATGCAACAGGAAGCAGGGAAAAAACCCAAACAGTAAGAAAAATATGGTAAATAGAAAACAGAAAATAAGATGGCAGAAATAAATCCAACTATCAACAATTCTAATAAATGTAAACATTAAATTCACCTGTTCAAAAGCAGAAATGATCTGAGTTGAAATATAAATTCTATCTGTATGCTCTTTGCAAGCATAAAAGACAATGACTCTTAAAATTTGAAGTAAAATTATGGGAAAATATTCCAGATAAATACTAAACAAATAAAAGTAGAGAAGCAATATTAATTAGATGAAATAGAATTGAAGGTATAAAGGTATATATATATGATATAAAAAGAGCCATTATTTAATGACAAAAAATTACCAAGAAAATATAATAATTCTGAACTTGCATGTACCCAAAACCCTAGCCTCAAAAATATATTAAGACAAATGATGAGATATACAAAAAGAACTGTTAAATCCACCAGTTATGCTGGGTATTTTGGACACACATGTGTGAGAAACTGATTTAGAAAGCCTACAAGTAATTATGGAAAGAGGAAGTATAAAATGCCTTAAACAAAACAATAAGCGTGTTCTAAAGGACATATACAGAATCCTGCTCCCAATAACTAAAGAAAACATAATTACCAGAGAGTGACCACAATCCAGTCACACAAATATCAAATTACTCACTTCATACAGATTACATTTCATATCACAATACAATATAGTCAGACATTAAACTACCAAAAAGATAATTTAGAGATTCTGTTGTTTTAGAAACTAAAAAGCACTTCAGAGAGATAAATAGATAGAAAAAATATATGAATAGGCAACTAGATAGATAAATAAGAGATTTCATGTTCTGAATGTACCATACTTTACTTGTTGTTGAACCATTTATGAGTCAATATTTTGGTTCTGTGGCAGGACTGCAGGTTATCTCCTAAAAGCACTTCTTCCTTTCTTCCTTAGTAACAAGACTCCTAGTTTTTAGCTGGAAAGAGCTGTTTGGAATACAGGCTTATTTCCCAGTTTTCCATTGTAGTCTGTTGTGGCTATGTGACCAAACTGAAGTGTCACGTTCAGCTTCCAGGAAGTATCCATAAAGATAAGAACTCTTTATTTCTTCCTACTGTATCTTCACATACTACTTCTGATGTGTATGGATGAGATGCTTGGAGATCAAATAACTACCTCGGACCACAAGGTAGAATCCTCATAGAGAAGCGACTGTAGACACAAGACAGAAG